AAATCGGAGAACTAGCATCTGGAGTTCAAGCTTAAAAAAAATGAAATTTTAAAAATGATATTTAAAAAAATGAAATTTAAAAAATTAGAGAGAATACGTACATTAAATAAATGTTCTTCTATGAGGAAATGCAACCTATGGACATAACATAATTCTTCCTTATATTCAGGATACTTCTCATTAGATTTGTTCCTCAAACTGAAATGTGCAGGAATTGAGAGTTCAACTTTGTGCACTAGCCATGGGGCTGCTACCTAGTTTGTCCTCCATTTCACCTTCTGGATTCCACAGCACATATTACTGAAAAGGCTGCCCCTGCCACTGGAAGTACAAATAAATGAAACCCAACGAAGGTCTTTTCCCCACCCCCTCTATACTCTACTTACTTCTCCTCAATTTTACAGAAGCCACAAATGTCTCAATCTAGACATTTCAAGGTTTCCAGGCATAGAAATGGATGCCTGCTGATAAGACAAGTGTACAGAGAAAATTATAAGTAATGGTGATATTCAGAGAAGCATAAAATTAAAAGCCCTGGCACCATTTTTCATCAGTCAACTTATCCCAGTGATTTTGTCAATAACCACATGAGCTAATTCAAAGACGTTTATTTGAAAGTTCATTTTTTTCGGCTCCTTCCACTATTTCAACTTAGTGAGGCTTTTAATTCCACTAAATAAATGAGATTTATTTATTAATGGCAACACTATATACTGGGTGGGCCCCAGGACCCAGGAAAGAGCCCTGGATTGCAAAATGCCCCTCCCTCACCAGGAAACCCCCATCTGCTTCCACACATGTGCAACCCCATCCATATGAGACCCAGAAAAACATTCCTCCACCCAAAGAGAAAGGAATTTAAGACTAAAACAAGAGCAAGAATAAGTTTCTACCATCAGGAATGACTGACTAGGGTGTTGAAATCTCCCAATTATCTAGACACTCACAGAAGAACTCATACTAACAATCTTTTCTAGGTAATAATCAGGATGTTCCTACCAGATCTGTGTTCTTTCACAAAAATGCAAAAGGGAGGACATCTTTTATCTGGTGGTTCTACTCCTGCTTCCACGCCCTATTCCCTTTGGAAGTACGTCTTTCAGAGCAAAAACGTCATCTCTTCTTCCAGCTTTCACTGTTAGAGCACATGATGGGACTCACAAAGCAACCTATAAATGCCCTGGGCATGGTGCTGGTGCAGCCATGGGAAAAAATGCAGAATTAGCAGTGGCCAGTTCCAAAACCAAGCAGGGCTTTGGTTAAGTCAGGCAAACGAGTTACCTTTACCAGTCCTGTCTTCACCAGCGGTAGCTGCATCACCCAGAAACAGAGCTCTGGGACTCTTACAAATAAGAATCTGCTCCATTTGTAGTACAAGCTTGAAAACAGCGACTGTGAATGCCTCCTCCCCTCTGCACCCTTAAAGGTCACCTAAAACCTCCAGTCTCCTAGGAGGCCTGTCCAGCTCAGCAGCAACAGCAGTGGCATTGGCCTTCTCAGAACTTAGGACATTCACAGACAGCACAGTTCACAGGCCCATGACACATGATTCCAAAACCAACTACACACACAGGCTCACCTCCCGGGGTGGGCACAGCAGGAGAGAGACTCAGAATGTTTGAATTTAGGAGTGGTGTGGACAGATGAGGAGCATGGAAACAAACTGATAACAGATGGTGCTAAGCGCTGTGAAATAAATCAACAGAGTAACTGACAGAATAGCCAGCAGGGCTTAGGGCTTGGGATCAGGGGGGTTCAGAATAACTCCTCTGAGGAGGAGACACTGACATTGAGACCAGAGCCCAGAGGAAGGAAAGCACTCGACCTGTTCTCAGAACTGAGAGGAGGCAAGTGTAGGTAAAGGGTAGGGACTGAGGGACAGCTGGCTGTAGAGAAGCGCATAGAACCACAGAAGGCTGGGCCTTTGGACCATGATAAATGACAGGAGGGAAGTTAGAGTGTAATCTAAATGCATTTGGAAAGTATTGAAGGGTTTTAAGGAAGAGCATAAAATGATGGCCTTGTGACATATCCTAAATTGTCATATACTGTTCATTGTTATTAACCTTCTAGGTTTACGTTGCCCTAAATCTATCTCTGGGAGGAAGGACTGTGTCACAAGACTTCCTTCTCTTCCTCACAGTGCCTAGCACACTTTGTACACTAAAAAGACACTTGATGCATAAATATCTACACACACACATACACACACACTGTTCATTTGTTCGGATGGTTTAAAGAACATACATCTAAAAACTTTCCAAAAGAATCATTCCTCTGTAATTTATGTAGTTTCCACCACTACAGTAGTGAATGGGAAAATAAAACACTTAGAATTAAAAGCTCAGTTGATGGAAATGCAAATTCACCAATTGGTAAAAAGAATTTGGCTTGTGTTTCTACGGACACAAAAACAAACAAATCAGCTATTTGCCCATAGAGAACACCCTTCCCATTAAGAATGGAAGGCAGAGATAGGCCACAGGCAAAAGTCAACAGCCACCAACATAAGGGTCCCTTCTATGCCTACTCACTACCACCTACTGGACAGTTAGAGGACAGATATCTGTGTAGTTTTCCAGGATCTGAGACTTCTGGGGTCAGTTAACTAGTACAAACAATTGAAACTGACAGAGGGCAATTCATGCATTTGAAGAAAAAGCTCATAAAAGATTCGGAAGTAACTAAAATAAATGATTTTCTTATACTAAAAAGTTAATCTTGGCTCATTAGAGATTAAAAAAAGCATGTCTACTTGTTTTTATGTTTTAAAAAAGAAGAAGTACTAGAGGAAAGAAGGTTGAAGATCCTAAAGATATGATGTAGTACCCTACCACTTCTAGAAAAATATTTGAAATAAAAAAAATTTTGCTAAAATTTTTCTTTAAATACAGTTAAAGTAGAATAATAAATCAAAACTACAGAATAATGAATAAATAAAACCAGAGAGAGTTGCCAAAGGCAAGAGGAAAACCTGGAGAAAACTGTGTCCTGGAAAACAAAGTTCAAGACAGCGTCCAGGGGCAATTGTGGCAAGATCAACTCAGGTGGGCCTTTGGGCCACAGTCATGAAATAAAGCAATGTGGAGGTCACTGGGGATCTTGATGAGAGTCTCTGCAAAGTAGAGTAGTGCACTGAGGAGGCAGGGAGAAAATGGAGGCATTTCTCAATTGGAGATCCTTAGGAATGTTGAAAAAAGAAGACGAAGGGCTTAGTGGAGGCCGCTGAGAAGGTAGAAGGGGAGCTCCACCCTTGATTTAATGCTCTGCTGTCACCATCTTGAAATTCTAAAGATTTTTGAACAAGGAGCCCCTCATTTTCATTTTGTACTAGGTCTCACAAATTACGCAGCTGGTCCTGGCCCCGGGGGAAGTGGTGGCCTCAGCACCAGGAATGGCAGCTCTGCTACCACAGTTGAAAGAGGGGATAGAGAAGCAGGGTCAGTGCCATCCAATGGTTTCTTTCTCTGTGAAGCAGAAAAAAGGAGAGTCAATCTGCTCTGATAAGCAAGAGGGCGGACAGGGCGAAAGAGGCTGAAATTTCATGCATGGTGGAGAAATCTGGTAGGCTCCACCTTAACCAGGTGATGAAGGTTACCACTGTCTGTAATAAGAGAACTCAACATCACATACCTCCTCATATGATGCACTGAAAATAGCACAAGATCACTCTGGTGCTATTTGCTATTCCTGTCAAAATGCATAAGCTCAATATAATCACAGGAAATCCAAACTGAGGAACATGCTACAAAACAGCAAACGAATATACTTGAAAAGTGTGAAGGTCATAAAAGAAAAAGAAAGACAGAGGAACCAGCACAGATTGAAAAAGTCTAATTAGATACAATGTGATTATCATGAAACAGAAAAAAGACATTAGGAAAAAAAAAACTATTGAAATCTAAGTAAGATTTGTAGTTAACAGCATTGTATCAATATCAATGTTTTGATCATTGTACTATGAGTATGAAAGACAGTAAAGTTTCTGGAAGCTGGATAAAGAGTATCTGGGAACTCTGTTTTTTCAACTTTTCCGTAAGTCTCAAATTATTTTAATATAAAAAGTTTGAATTTTCATGTGGATCTTTTACTTGTGATTTCTTTAATGTTATTAGTAATTCTAGAACCTCAATTATCACCTTTGAAGTCTAGCACTACCGCGTCAGACATGTTCCTGCTTCTCTATCAAGCCAAAGGATCAGTAACAAAAAAGAAAGGTTATGTTTCCTGTTAAAATTATGACTTTGAATTGGTCATACAGCTGTAAGTTCATATAATGCTTCCCCGCACCTATTGCATCATTCCGTTTCACAGCATCCTAGCAAGGGAGAGAGGACGGGGTAAGGGAGGGAAGAACAGGAATGTCCCTTCAGTTCTCACTTCTTTGCCGCTCCTTCCACGTGTCTCAAAGGCTATAAAGTGGGTGCATTAATTAAAGCCCTTAAAAATGTTAAACATTTATGAGAACCACACTGGTTACAAGGACAATCACAGATTTCCTTTCTCTATTTTGATTCATTTTTTTCTGAAAGCTTACAGAGTTCGCAGCAAATCCAGGTCAGATATTGCTTTAGAAAAATAAGGTTTTACAAAGAACCTCAGGTGACCCATCTACTTACACCTGGGATAAAACCCACTCCAGGTAACTATTCAGAATGGGTGAACCAGCCAGTCCAGGACCAAGTGGAGTTGTGCTACTACTCTGCTGCCACCAAGTGGCGGGTGGGCACAAAAGCACCCTGCCAGGCACAGGAAGAACTAGGCTCTGCAAATGGCATTTTCTCTGGAATCCCAAGTCAAGAGGAAGCAAGGGAGAACTGTCCCTGCCTGACACAGCACTAAGAAGACAGAGTGTAAATACATGCATTCTTGAGAAAGGACATATTAAAATAAATACTTAGTTACTGCAACGAACTATTTTGTCTACCTCAGATTGAGAACTGCTCCAGAGACTAAATCAAAGCCAAAAGGTGTTACAGGCACCCCAACTCCATGCTTACCTGCTTTGGGTCAGAGGTAGTAGCGCCAGGAGCAGAGGATTCCAGTTCTATGGTCACTGGCCCATCGTTCTGAATGTGGACTTGCATGTAGGCACCAAACTTGCCATCTGAAAGAGCAATTCAAACAGTTACAAGAGATGGAGACCCTAGAATACCTAAAAAGCACACCTTGATCATGTAATCAGAAACCTGGAGAGCAGAGCTGGCCCACTCCACCAGTAGTGAGGGAATTATAACATTAAATAGCAGAGATGTTGCCGCACACCCTACAGACTTAACAAGAATTAAAAGATCTGGTAACACCAAGAGTGGGGGGAAATGTGGGTTAAGAGGACTATAAAATGGCAGGAAAGTAAACCAATGTTGCCACATGAGAGGGCATTTTGGTGCTGTATCCAGTAAAGTGAGTTGAACAAACCCTACAACCTTGGAATTCCACTTTGGGGGGTCTACTCTAGAAACCCATACAATAGGAAACAATCAAAGATATTCATTCTAGCAGTGTTTATAAAAGAAAAAAGTGGACATCATCCCTCAGCAGAGGAATGAATGCATAAATTCTAAGTCCTCAGTAGAATACTATATGGCAGCCACATCCATTAATATGGCAAATCTCAAAAACATACTGTGATTTTTAAAAAGTAACTTGTAACAAGGACACATCATTATATCACTTATATATTTTTAAACACCTCAAACAAGTTACATTACTTACGAATATATAAATCTGTGTGTGTGTGTGTGTGTGTGTGTGTGTGTGTGTGTGTATCCTGAATACATGGGCAGGAAAGACGAATGCAAACACAGGACAGTAGCAACATTCATATCAAAGAGAAGGCATGAAATGATGGAATTTGAGAGAGAGAGAGACCTAAAGTAAATGTGACCAACTGGGCAGTGAGTACACAGGGTATCTATTTTCTGTATGCTTCATAATTAAAATTTTTAAACAACTTAAATATAAAGGAAAATAATACCTAGGAGGCTCCCCCAGAATAACCTCATCAACTGCCCTGTAACTGGCCCACAGTCTCATATACTGTAAAGTAGGAAGGAGGTCCTGCTCCCTCATTGTGGGGTCAAAAGGCCAGTCAGCCTACAGAAAGCACTGCAGGGCAGAGAACTGAGGAGACACCTCACTCCTCACAAGAGGGTCAGCCCAGGGCTCAGGGCCTGCAGCTGGGGGCCACTCATCTCTGCCTGCCCCACATTCCCTCCTCACCTCAGTGAAGCAGCAGAATCATCCTGCTCCCTGGAAATGCACTGTCCAGCTGGCCACTGGCTGCCCCAGCAAACAGCACCTCTGTGTGTTCTATTCTGTTTTAACAATTTTAACACCCAAACCCACTCAATTGAGTCTGATCAATCCGTGAAGGCTAAATTACATTTGTAAAGAAAGCCAAGAATATGCTTTGAGAGATGATGCCATGGAATAATCAGAACATCAACTCCAACCATCCAACCACCTCTGTTAAGCTGGGTCTAAACACTGCTAACGACACACATGACACTTAACACAAGGAAACAGTGATTTTGACAAGTAGAGAAGGTTACTTGCACACCACCTCTGATAAATCCAAAATTAAAAAAAGACTTGGATCCACAGAGTAAAATTAGTATGAATCCTCAGAAACCAAGAACCATCGATGAGATTATGAGATCCAGTCCACATCTGAAAATCACTCACTGCTTTTCACTCACAACAACTGTGCCAGGCACAGTGCTAGAGACCAAAGACCCAGTTCAAAGGGACAGTGCAGACAGCCTGGTACTTAAGAACCCTGTGGTCAAGTGTGGGAAACGACGGGCACATGATGCAGCACTGTTAAGCCCGTGAGGCATTCTGACCCTGAAGCCAGAGAAGGGTCAGAGTCTCTACCTTGGAGAATGGGGAGAGAATCAGAAAGTCTTCTCTTATCCATCTACACAGGGTCAAAGACTTGAAGGGCAACTGGGACTCAGGATGGAAGAGAGAAGAGGCCCAGCCCTTAACTAGTTCTGAGGCCTTAGGCAATTTTCTTAACCTCCCAATGATTAATTTTCCCATTTGCATCACGATGATACTAAGAGGGCCTAAGTCATGGTGAAAATTCAATGAGACCACGCATGGAAGTGCTTGGGACAATGGCTAACATATGATATGTGCAAAATCAGCGTTTGCCCTTATTATTATGAAAAGTCATGTTCAAGAGACTCCACAAAAGCAGAGCAACACTTCCCAAACTGTGTCCTGCTGGGTATTCCTTAAATAAAGAATGCCACAGTCATGTACTTCTGAAAACCACACTTGTTTGAATCTTCCTTCCACAATCACGACGCACAGCAGCATGTAACAGGCTCTTAAGACATCCTTAAGCAGAGAAACCTATTTAGCTTCTTTGCTCTGGTGCTCCTCAAACTCCCCTGGGCAAGAAGCCTTTATTGCACATGGAACATCCTTTATAATGTGAATGACCCTCTAAGAAAGGCCAAGGAAGAGAAAAGCAGTGAAAGGATATACCAGCCTAGGGCAGACCAGCCTGGAGCCTGGAGTGGCTCTGCTCTCAAGTCCTGGGGTCCCTCAACACCAGACCTTCCACAGCATGAGATGACCTCCCTGGGCTTCTGCTCTCATCACCACAACCATACAGTTTCCACCTCTGATTCTTCCCCACCTGGCAGTACTCCTGCCAGTGACCCTTAACCTCATAAAGGGCCTTAGCGAAATGGGCAGACCAACTGTTGCTTTCTTCAGAGCACAGACAGTAGTGTTGAAAACGGAATTAAAAGCACCCAAGCTGTTCACCATTTTTATAGGCAAAATTAAGCTAGTTCTTACTGGTTAGTCGAACATGCTCAAATAATGGTGACTTTCCGTGACTTCCTATCAGGTTAAAATGGCTGTTCAAATCTACAGAGCTTTTGTTTTATCCATGTCAGAGGAGCTAAAAAGACATCAGCTGGGAAGGAAATCATGTGTTTAATTGCATGCTAAAATTATGGCTACAATTAGCAGCAAATTTCAGCCGCTGCACTCCTCAGGGAAGCTGACGGCAGACTCAGGAGGAAATTATTTCCGACCTTGAATTCCTGGTGCCAGGATATACGGCATATGCTTCATTGTGTTTATCATTCCAAAGCAAGAAATCTATTTTCTTTTCCTGTTTCTCTTCAGTTAAGAACAGAACTATTATCTGAATCTCCATTTGTGCAAACAATAAATCCAAAGACAGGTTTTAAGAGTTCTTAAAAGAATAACATTTTTTCCAGTCCAGATCAAAGAGTAAAGCCCCCAAGTAAAACTATATTGGCCAGGGAAAATAAAAACATTTTTAAAAAATAATCTTAAAAGACAAAAACGTATCTACATCTGGGCTCCAATGGTGATATAATCAAGTTGTTCTTATAAGTCCCGAGGTTCTCTCCAGAAATGGAGGAGAAGCACGTGTCAGACACATTTGTGCCACATTTCCAGCAGGAAAACTCCCCATTGGAGCCAAACCTGCTATGACCTGGCCTCTAGCGCAGCTGTCTGAGGCCCCGACCCCAAGCTAGGGCATCCCTTTTACCTGCAAAGGCTGACATCTCAGTCCCTTTGAACAATATTTAACTGATTGTGACTACCCTCAAGAAGCCCTGCCCCACCTCTTTGTGCCTGGTTTAATCTGGGATGACAGTCATCCTGGGAGGTCATATTCATGAGGGTGCTCGTGAGTTAGTACAGGCAGGGCACAGAAAATCTGAGTCACTATTACTATTGTCACTCCTACCACTGTCCATGGTACTACATGGGCAAAAGGGGTGTGGGGAGATTAAAAGAAAAAAAAAAAAACTGAAAAGCAGACTATTGAAGAAAAATGGGGATAACAAAAGACCCACATTCTTGCTTTCCAGAGGCAGCCCTACATGACTGTGACTAGGCTGGGGCATGGCCTATCTCTGGGGGACCAGTCCTGGACACCAGTACTAGACACTAAGCCTCAGGCCAGCCCACCTGAGCACACTCCAAAGGTGGGTCCTGTGCTGTCAAGGTGGCATTCTCACCACCCAGGCTTCCTGGGCAGCAGGGAAGAGTATTACTGATGGAGACCCAACATGAGGTGCACAGGCTGGGAAACAAGAAATCAAGGAAATGTGTGGAACTGGGGGCTGAGAATAAGCAAGGCTAGGGCCGCACTGCTCTTGGAGTCTGGTCTAGATGCACTGGCCTGCATTGCTCCTAGAGCCCATGGGAGTGTGACCCTAGTGGCTAGCTGGATCCATAGCAGGCACTATGATGGCTCTGTCCACAAGCGTGTACTGCCTCTACAGAGGCAGAGTGCTCCCCGGCCCCACCTCCCCAGAGCAGCCAGCCAATGCAGAGCACCCACTGGGGCAGGGAGTCTAGTACAGCAGCCAACGCAGCTCAAGGTGGGATGGAAAGCAGAGGCAAGAGCTCTGGGAGCCATCAACAGAGATCAGCAGCTCGAGCAATGGCACTTCCTAAGTGACTTGGCAGGGGAAATATTTGGCTGTTGGCAAAAGGGTACATGACAAGCCCTTTAGGCCCTGACAGCCAAGTTTCTCAGAGACTGAGTGCCAAGCCTAGGTGGGCAGCATTAGAACCACTGTCCAATTCTATCCACATTCAGGGCCATGGAGGGAACTGAAATGGTGATCCCAGGACCTTTGTGACTTCTCCCCAGGCTCAAGTACCCCTTATTGGTGGACTCTGCTCAGCTCTGCAACAGTTCATTCTGCTCAAGGGAGACACTTCCTTTGGGCAGCAAACTTCTCAGGCCTGGGACTCCATGGCAAGAAGTACTGAGGGACAAGCCCTGTGGCCCACGATGGAGAGTGCCTACTCACAGGAGACTGAGGGTACTTGTCACCATATGGGGTCACCCAATTCCAAACTAAAGAGCAGAAAGCAGGGGCTGCCAAGGAAAATGGATAATAACATGGTAAATGTCTAGGATCAAAAGTAACCTCTAACTGGGAGGTTAAATTCTCATCAAAGCTGAAGTTCTGAGGTCACAGGTTTGGTGTAGCCCTTCTTGCATAACAGGGAGGCTTAAGGCAAGGTTTTCTCTAACCATCAGCCTTACTCAGACATCTCAGGCTCTGCTGGTGTCCGTGCCGTCATTCT